GACTGCATGGCGACGCTGGGGCACGTGCTCTTGCAGCGCCAGGCTTTGCCGCAAGCGCGCTCGTTGCTGGAGCGTGTCGCGCTTCTGGACGAGCTCGAGGCGGGGCCGTCTGCGTTTGTGACGCTCGAGTCGCTGCTGCAGGTGGCGACCGTGTACCGGTACATGGACAAGTTCGAGGCGGCGATGAACGTTGTCATGTCGGTCGTGGCGACGGCCGAGGTGAGCTTTGCAGCGACGCGCGACGATGTGTGGGAAGACCTGCTGCACAGTGGTACGGCTGCAGTGTGCAATGAGATCATAACGCGGTGTGTATAGGTTGGCTCGAGCTTGGCGTGCTGCACTGCTGCCTCTCGAGCATCGAGAGTGGCTGCAATTACATCTTTGCTGCGTTCCAGGGGTCTTTGGAGCTCTGGGGGCCGCAGCACGACCGGCCTTGGACTGCTTTCGCCGCATGGTGCTACTTTTCGGCGCGGCACTGCCGCTTTGACGATCGCAGTGAGGCGCGGAAGCTCGTCGCTGGCGTTTCGGAAATGCCAGCAGCGATTTGCGACTGGCCATCGCGAGTGTGTGCGACGTGTGCACACCGTATCGCTGGCCCCGTGTACAGCACGACCTCAGATGTGGCGTGGACGTACCTACGTTGTGGATCGTGCGTCGCCACCGAAGGGCGTGTTGCGCCGTCGACGACGCATCTGCCGCCGCGCAGTGTCAGCGCCGTTGTGTCCCTCGCCTTGTAGCAGGCGTTAAATGTCCTTTTCTGCAGCTACTGCGTGAATTCTGTGGCTGGGGATAAAGATAGTCGATAAATTGACCCGTCGATCGAGTGAATGGCTTGTCGCTTCGTGTCCGAAGGATGGCACTACGAGAGAGAGGCATCTCCAAGACAACTAGCCGGTCTCCAAGACAACTAGCCGGTTGACATTGCGCCAGGTGATTTTTCGCGAGGGATTCGTAGCCCGTTCGTGGCGGTGAGACGCCAGCACTCTCGCAATCGCTACTCTGTGAGTCTCTTGTTGTTGCAATACACTGGTTCGAACACGCTCGTGTGCATCGAAGGACGCATCCATGAACTCTTTGGCGACACATGTCGCCGTGGAGACTCATCGTGCGATCGGCAGTGCACCAAAACGGGGGTAGGGTACGTCCCCATTGCATTTTCTTTTCTTCTGCGTGAGCTGCGACGTCGGACTTCTACACAGTAAGTCAACTCGACAGCATTTACCTTGGTCGCCTTTCGCCTTTGAGCGTCCTGTAGCCCTTCATCACCGCGTCGGTGTGCTCTACCATGTGCCTTGCGCACTGGGCGTTAAGCTGTGCGGTGTTGGAGAGGCGGTATCGCGCACACTGATTCCTTCGCATCGAGACCGCTGGTTTCGCTTGAAGCTTTCGTTGATTGTACAACTTGAGAAACTGTTTCTGCAAAAAGAGGTGAAACGTCAGACATTAAAATGGCAAGGGAGAAGCCGGAACGCGCACCGCACGGGAGCTTCAAGGCCCATTGTAAGAGGTTTTCTTGCTGCGCTTCAGGTCGCAATGCGGAACGCACCCAGTTCGCGCCAAAACGTACCAGGCACTAATTTGTTGCCGAGACCACGACTTCAAAAGAGCATCGCGTCCTGGGCGATGCTGACGTGACTTGTGGTATCCCCCGTAGATTCGCACCCGCTACTCGCTGCTTGATGTGAACAAGACTTCTTACGTTTACAGTTCTAACTACAACGTATCGCGCTACCTCCGCGCTACGCAGCAATAGACTGCATCGGCATCGCTGCTTCACTTTCATCGACACAGATGTGTATTAATCGGCACTTGGTCACGACCAGGCGTCTTGAAAAAGCACTCTTTGTCTCTTGCGTTTTGCTCAAATGCACACGACAATGTGGCACAGAAAAGGTAGCTCGAGCCAGCCGTCTAACGCTGCTATCAAGGCCTTGCTGGTACGTGCACTAGTAGTACATGGTGGATGCCCGAGTCTCAAGCTTGGGTGGCAACGACTTTTTGTGGCTGACGTTACGATCGATTGCGCCTCGGATCGCCAGCGAGCACGAATTGCGGCCATCGGATTGGCTGTCTGCACTAGTTTTCCTGGCTTTTGATTGGGTTTCCCGTCGCGTAAACTGTAGCCATTTTGTGATACTAACGCCCCGATCGTGCGTCGTCGTACGAAGTTGGCAGCCGGGAAGGTCAGGCTGGATGGGCGCTCCGAGTGTTGCACATCAAGATGCAACTGCTTCCTGACGACGGATGCCATGACAGGCGCGTCCGAGTGCTACCGGTAGCTCCGCACTACGCGGTGCGTCTTCCAACATCTAGAGATTTGTACGCTCAACGGCATAAATATCCCCAGGGTGTGGCACGGAATTTTCGGATAGTTGGGGCCTTGGTACTATCCACTTTCGCGTTTTACAGCTAGCGCACGTAGTCATTAGTCTTTAATACATCATGGATGAGGCTGGCGCAGCAATGATCTCAAGTGCTCAAGTGCGGTGATCGTGGAATGATTCCAAGATGACATTCAGTCTCTGTGACACCCAACAAAATGTGGACCACGTTGAAGACCACTGTCACGCTGCCGTCCATTATGCGATGCTGCTCCATACTCTTGTACGTACGTTTGCTCGTCGTAGTTGCTGCTTGCTGCTCGGGATTTCTTGTGTAGCCTCACTGTACCGGTAGGCAGGCGAGCAATGCGCCCACTAGTCTTTCGCTGCAATGGCAGCCGATCCTCCTTGATATGAGCATGTACGTACGGTCTGACGCACGTGCAGTACCGGTAGCCAACTTTGCTGAATCCAAGAACAGTATCAAGCACATCTTCACAAGGACCCCCTCCCTTGCACAAACTTGCCACATGAATCCACAGAATAAAAAACAACCACAATCGACGCGGCAATCGACGGGCGTGCTCTTCGGTTCTGTTGTGATCATTGTGATGACCGACGATTGAAAGCAAGCAGTAGTTGTAGAGCGCCGGTCGTACACACGTGAGCATGACAAGTTGTGCGGCGCGACGCAATTGCACTCTCTTCACTAGTCGAGCGTTGCTCCCTTTAAAGCATGTACACGTGGAATCGCTTGCTCCTCGTCGCGGATTTGCAACCACAACCACACAACGAGCTCCAAAGTAATCCAAGGCTGATCCAACAACAGCAAGCATCGATCGCGCACTGACGACTGAGCTATCATCCAACGCATTTGCGTCATACCGTGTCATTCGCATCTCCACCACGTGTTGCCGGATCGGAAATGTATGAGTGGCTTCCTTCGCCCGCATGTACAAAGGGTGGATTGTGGTGCACCCACGCTCCGATCACCGACCTCATCCAAGTACATGTACCAGAACCTGCCTCGGAGCTCGACATCAGGTACGACTTGGCCCGCGGGCGATGTCACGACAAAGTCCTCTATCTCCACAACATGTATGCCCCGGCCGAGCGCGAGGCCTTCTTTGCGGCGCTCCCAAAGCGCTTTGAACCAGACGCAGTGCACATAGTAGGTGGCGACTTCAACGTCATTTTGTCCGAAGCCCTGGACTCGTTCGAGCCGCTGCCGAAGAACCTCCAGATTGTCGAACAACTCCTGCTCTGGCTGCGTGAGCTTCGGCAGGTGGACGCGTACCGCCAGGACTACCCCACCACGATCTCGTACACTAGCCCGCGCCACAGCAACAGGATAGACTACAGAGACTCTGTACGTTAGCGCCCCGACCCAGTCAACACACGTCCACGCCGCCAGACCACTCGGCGTGTACGTTTGAGTTGTCGACCCGAGTCAAACCACGAACGGGCCCGTGGCGTGCACCACATTGGCTGGCACAGCTACCCGTGATCATCGACGAGTGCTTGGACCAGATTGTTTACTCGGTCTCGATCGGTCCGGTCGCTACGATCGCATGGTCAACGACATGCACACCCGGCTCCGCCTACTGCACCGTGCCTGCGTCGACGCCGACAGAGCCCCCGACAAGAGCTCGAGCGTGAGTTCACCGTTGCGCTGGCGGACTTGAACCGCCACCTGTGTCAAATCATCATTGAAGCAGTCCTCGACATCAAGCGGCGTCTGGAAGAACACAACGCTCGAGTTCAAGAGCATAAAACGGAAGCGGCAGTGCAACGCCATCTCGTGGAAACTGCCCGATGCACCAAGTACCACTTGCGGTCGCTGTCGATCAAGATGCTGGGACCGGACTCATATGTCAATCCACGAGATGCGCGACACCACCGGTCAGACTCGCACCACGCCGCAGGAGATCTTGCCGACAACGCTCTCAGGCTACCTCTACTCGACGCCCAAGACGGCGTCCAACATGCACCAAGCCGCGTTCCGCTACTTCTGGCCCGTGCTCCGCGCCTGCGTCTGGTTCAACGCCTGGCGCGTCCGGAACGATCGCATCTTTCGTGCCGACCTACCGCTGCCCAGTCCATGGACGATTGCCCCTTCAAGGCGGCGCGTGTCACTCAACTGCACTTGCACCACAGACCTCGTTCAAGAGCCGAGCAGCCTGCTCTTCGTCGGCTTTTCCGGCTCCTCGCCCAACACGATTGGCCGCGCCAGCACTTTGTCCCGCGCATTGGGCTCTTGCTTCCGACACTGCCTAGATCAAGATCATCAACCGAGTGCACACAACGAAGAAGTCCAACAAATTGATGTAGCATACTTGTAGTTTATCTATTGTAGCAGACGATCCCCTTTAACAGCAAGAAAGTGCTGAATGGCAAGAGACCCGGGGTGACCAGCGACGTGCCTTGCCAAGTTGACTAGTTTCATTTTGCATCGTGCACAACGTCTGATGCTCGGCCTGCGTCTCGATGCGCTGGAGCTCGTCCAGCACTTCATGACCACACAGACCTTCGTTTCGGCCACGTATCGTGACGCCTAGCGCCTCTTGCCGGACGAACTCGAGGCGGGTCCGTTGGCGTTCGTGACGCTCGTGTCGCTGCTGCAGGTAGCGACCGTATACCGGTAGATGGGCAAGTTGGACGCAGCATTCCAAGTCGTGACGTCGGTCCTGGTGTCAGCCGAAGCTATGGTGGCGACGACGACCATAGACAGAGATATCTGGTTCGACCTGCGCCAGAGCGGTACCGTCGACTACAAATCAACGCCGTCATCGTTGTTGTGGGTAATATGCACTCCAGTGCAGCATCGGCGCGCTATCGATCGGCTGCGAAGTTCTCGAAGCTGCCTTGTGCTAGGAGCGCGAGCACTGGGGTCGACACAACGACCGCACGTGGGATGCGTTCTCAAAATGGTACTAGTACTAGTTTGCAAGGAGCAGCTTTGACGAGACCGTGGCGGCGCGGCAACGAGCAGGAGTGGCGCAGATGCCAACAACTATTGACGACTGGCCCGGGAAGGTCTGCGCACGCTGCGAGGCAGCGATCCGCAGCACCGCGCAAATCGTACGAGGGACTCCACCGTACTACACTAATTTGTTTTGCGCAAATCGCGCTGACCAAAGGATTTTCGCGGCAGTATGCGAGCCAGAGAGGGAAAAGATTGTGTCGTGATCCCATTCTTTCGCTCTTTTGCTGCCAACTACAAGAGAAAATACTTGTTACAGCTTCAAACACGTAAACACGCATGGCTCCGTTCAGAGCTCTTTCGGCCACAATTCCAAGCGACGAGGAGGAGGCGCTAGCTCCTCGTAGTGCCTGCGCGAAGCAAAACGACGCGACTTTTACCGTCGTCGGCAGAAAATCGTCTTGGGCACCAACGTACGCGGTGAAGCGCGGTGTAGTAACAGCGTGGGTTTGGTGCATAGCCCCTCCACTGTCCAGTGACTGATGGAACGAGTGCGCAGAGCCTTTTCCCTCTTCTGCAATCCAGGCGCTGCTATTTGTGGTGTGCCCTTCTGGTCGCAAGGCTGACCAGCCCGACTGCCTCAATTTTCGCTGCTCAGCGCAACTTCAAGTTCAAGGCGCTCGCTCACTGGCGCTCGCTTCTCTCGTCGCCACTAGCCCCATTTGAAAATGCATGCAAAATATTAGAATCAACGTATGCTATGGCTCTCCAAAACCTAAACTCGAAAAACATAGCGTGCAATGAAGCATATATGCATATGCACCGCCGACCTCGCATCGCAATCAAACGAGCCAGAGTGGAATCGGGTGCGTTTTATGTGTCTCCGACGATGGCGAGTGTGCTGCGCTGCCACGATCTCGTGCGCCTTGTGGCGTCGTTCCAGGATGGTCAATACCTCGCCGTGCGTAGCTTCCTCCGCCTCCCGCGCAGCTGCTTTGCCGACCTGGACATGCCATCGGACGTCGAGTGGGGCCACCACTACGCCCGCGCGGTCGCAACCGACAACGACGTGGCCGCGTGGTACGCCACGTACGGCGTCCATGGCCTTTTGCGCCTCGTCGCCGCCAACATCCGGCCCTGCGTGCATGGCATCTACTACTGGATCGTAGCATGCCGCTGCGAACGCCTCCTGCAGGCGATCGAGGTCGCGTGTCCATCAGGTGCACCACGTGGCTTGCTTGACGTAGCCGCTGCCCGCGGCCACGAGACGCTCGTACGACGCCTGCAGTCCCACGGTCATGACACATGCTCGACAAACGCGATGGACCTTGCGGCTGAGCGCGGTAGCCTTCGCGTCCTCATGTACCTCCAGCGCCACCGCACCGAAGGCGCGACGTCTGTCGGTTTTGAAGCCGCCGTCCAACAAGGTCATCTCGACGTGGTGCGTTTTCTCTACGAGCACTTCCCAGGTCTCTGTCGCCCCAACATTTACGAAATCGCGGCCGCGTACGGGCAACTTGACGTTCTCAAGTACCTCTGTCGGTACACGGCCCCCTTTGCAGTTTCCATCCAGCGCGCCAAGCAAACTGCAGCACAGACTGGTCACTTTGATCTGCTCCACGCCCTCCACAAGCTCTACCCACGGCCTGAGCACCTAGTGCCCATTGCCCGGAATGCGCTCAAGCGCCAGCACGTCGCTCTCTGCGACTTTTTCGTGCGCTCTCTCTGGCCCGTACGAGGAAGCTTGGAGGCCTACGTCGGTCGTGGCTGCGTCCAATCGTGCATCATTGAAGCGTCTCGCGCAGGCAATTTGCCAATACTCGAGCTCATCGACGTCTACGAGCCGCGCGTCCCGTGGCCCCCGGAGGCCCTCGAGCGCGCCGCCGCGGCGGGCCACGACCACATTGCTCGCCTAATTTCGTCGCGGCATCCAGAGGCGGTGACGCTGTCGTCGGTCGACGCCGCCATATCGCAAGCACCACTCGCACTTGTCGTTTTCTCCTCGAGACGCTAAATTTGCGCAGCGACCCGCGTCTCGCAGTGCTCCACGGTCGAACGGATGTCTTGAAGTACCTCGTGGAGCACCCGTGGGCGGTCCGGGACGGAGGGTGGGGCCCCGAGCTCCTCAATCTGGCTGCTGCACACGGTCGGCTCGATATGGTCGCTCTTCTGCACACTACGCGCCCGGACGACGGCTGTACGAGCGCTGCAATGAACCTCGCCGCAGGCTTTGGCCACTTGGACGTTGTCGCGTATCTAAACGAGCACCGAACCGAGGGCTGCACGGACGACGCGCTGTGGAAAGCCATGGGTCGCCGCCACTACGCTATGGTGCAGTACCTCCACGCGCATTGCGCAGGCTACTTTGGCAGCGACGCCATGGCGGCAGCCAAGACCTTTCTCGGTGCGTCCGTGCACTGGGACCGCAAAGGCAGTCTTGGTGAGCTCGTCTGCTAGATATTTGACAATCACGTACAAGGGCGATATGCCACGCGGGTTTTTGCATCGCCACCGACTGCGTCCATGATTTTGTACTTGGTAGAGATGTGTGCAGCAGCCGCTCTTCACATAGTTAGTACACACTTGCTACTAGTAAGGTTTAGTTGGTGTGAATTCCAGTTTAAACTACTCTTCCTGGTATCTTGCTTGTCGCCAACTCTTATTTGTGTTTTAAAGGGTCTCATGGTGTCAAGACGATGTGTAGGTCGTCGTCTGCCTCAACCGTGGGCTTAACCGCAACCGCAAACTGCACGACGGCCTTGATGTACCATGTGTCGAGGGCGTTGCGCGTGTAGTAGCCCAAGTGGCCGCCGTGCGCCGTGACCGCGAGCAAAACGTTCGGATTCGCCTTGACGACGTCGTATGGGATGGCTTGGCGCGGGCAAATCGGGTCGTCCAGCGCCGAGATGCACAGCGTCGGGATCGCAATCCCCGCAATGTCTAGTTGGTTTCACATGAGCTCGCAAGTTGGATGCGCAGCGTGTACAAGCTGCCGATGATGCGTCTTTGTACATGTCCATCGGCGTCTCGTAGCTAGCTCGAGATAAAATTGTCGTGCGTGCGATTGCCAAGACGTACCCAAAGACAGGGCACGAGTACGCGCGATCAAAGTCTTCCAAGATGCGTGCCTTCTTGAGCTGCGTGAGATTCACAGAGGCCTCGGTCCGCAGCACGGTGTGCGCATTGCTCTAAGCTGCGATGGTCTAAAGCTTCGCGCGCGACAAAAGCACCTTTTTAAAAATGAGCTTGACAAGGCCGCTGGTGAGCGCTTTGTTGTAGATCTGTCGGTGCCACCACGACGTGGCGAGATGCGCGGTGGTCATCTCGAGATTGTACGGGTTTGCAACCGAAATCGCGGCCGTCAACGGACACGAATGACCGGCTTCGCCCACATACTTGAGCAATATATTGGCGCCGAGCGAGTACCCGACGGCAATCAACGGTGTTGGCGCTGGCGCAGAAGTGGCGCGGAGGTGGGCGACGACCTCTTTGACGTCCGCTGTGACGGCCGGACACACGAGCTAGATGGAATCAGTCGTCGAGTAAGGCGGTGGCCGTCGTACCTTGGGTGTCGTCACAGGAGTTTTAGCACAACCCCTGGCGTTCATGACCACAACGCGAAAACCGGCGACAAGACAGCGCTTGGCTGTGAGCTGAATGTACGACTGGGTACATCATTAAATTGGCACTAGAAAATCGTACAGTGTAGTACCTCGTGACTGCCACCGCCCAGACCATGCATAAGCACCTAGGACATAAAATATCACCTCGACGAGACGGAATCGCAGGACGCACGATCGTCGGCGCGCTTCGGTCGTCAAGCAGGGTGGCGAGGTTCGCCGGCCGTGGCTTGGGCGATGCCCAGTCAAGCGAGACCGTGCCGCCGTCCACCAAACGAACGAGCTCGCGCTCATAGTGCACAACCTTGCGCGGTACGACATTGAGACCGTGTGTCATAATGGTCTGGCAGTGCCCGTTCGGAAGGAACCATGTCGGTCGGAAGGCCTCGTCTAGGTAAGCTGGATGAGACGTGCTGCGCACGTACATTGTCCTACGCAGCGCCGGTAGCTTGGCCAGAAGCAGGCGACTCGCTGCGGTCGGGCTCTCGTGCGCGGTGAGCCGAGGCTTGCGGTCGTCTGGCATTTGCAATCCGAACGCAACTGGCTCGCGATTCGTGCAAATCGCAGCGGTCGCGTCGCCGATTGGGCACTGGCTATTTTAAGCGACCCAATCCCCATCGTCTTGTAGGATGTGGCATATGCCACAAGCAAGCGCAGTTGAGTCGCTTGGTGAAAAGTTTTGGTTGCGATCGAATACGATGATAGATGCAGGCGAGAACCATGTGCACTGATTTGCTAGAGTACATCACTAAATTCCACTGTTTCATTATGTAGTCTTGATGGGACAGTTCTGCGAGGCAAGGTGCCTCTGTATACAGTAGCTACCGCGGTTTACACCCCAGGACCAGGTGCTACGGCCTTGGTTTTCGCAACCAGAAAGTGGCACGCGCATGTATCAATGGAAGGCGTGGACCTTGATACTCGTTATACTCCATAGGAAACACATAGAACGAGTGCGACGGATACAGTGTTGCTAGCCCATGCATCCAGTCGCGTCGTGCTTGATGTCGCGGGTCGCGGGGCTGTTGTTGGTGTCGGTGTCAATGTTGGAGCCGGGGGCGCACGTGTCGTTGGCGACGGCGTCTGCCCGATCCAAAAGCCCGAGGCGTTGCAATTGGAGGCACTGGCGCCGATGCAAAACTGCTGTGATAGGGGCGAGCAATTGTCGTTGCACCACGTGCAGCACCCTGGGTTTTCCACGCATGTTCCAAAGCTTCTAGCGCGGGCGCACTGAAACGGATCCACTGAAGTGTTGTCCAGCTGCCAATTGAGCTTAAAGTGGCAACCAGATACACTCAAGCAGACAACGGCGAAGACATAGTCGCCGGCTGCAAGAACCCGGATCGGTGTTTCATATGCCGTCCCGGCGCGGTCAAGATCGCAGTCGAGATTTTCGCAAGCATAGGGCACGCCTTGCTCGAACGCAAGATAGCTGGTATCGCGGTGGAGCAAGTAGACCTTGAAGTGGTCGCTCGCACCCGCTCGCACCATGGGTTCAGAGGTGTTCAGGGGTGTGAGGACCGCACCGGTCGGTACGGCCAGACACACATACGTCAAGACGGACTCCTTCGACGTCGTGTTCGCCGTCGAGTACACAGAGCAGGTTGATTTTAGCGTCTGTAGCTGTCGATGTTGGACCACTGGGAGCTCCGAGTCAAGGCGAAGCGACGTGCAGAGCACAAATCCAGCGAGGAGGCCTAGTGACAGCAGCCGGGGCATCCGTCCGAACGGTGAGGTGGCGATGGGACTCTTTATATGATACTGTTCGAAGATTCTTGATTTGATGGAACAATATCGCACGTACCTGCGCCTTGGCATCCTTGGAAGTCGCGGCTGGCCCCATTAGTCGTTTAGCTGAAGAAGAAACATTAATAGGCCATACAATGGCGCCAAGCATAAGGTTTCCTGGTCAAATGGCCCTGATCGAGGCGTCAACGAGCACTATAAATTCTGGTCGCAGTGATAAATATCGATCAATGACTGACAAATCGACATGGAAATGGGAGAGATTACATCCCAGATCTGCTCGGGGGGCTCCGAGACGTGGATCCAAACAGTCTCGTCGATATGGCACTCGACACCAAAGGACGGTTCTGTCTGTCGAGCTTCGATTTGTTTTTCGATGCTCGACCTCATACAATTTTAAAAAGCCACTGCATTCCAGTACGCGGTTCTGATGGCACCTTCTGAAGGCGGACGTATCGTGGTACGTACGCAGTATCTGTAGTAATCGTACACACTGTACTTGACATGTACACAGCATAGGGGTCATCTTTACACTTCTACCCAAGGATTGCAACAACGAAAGCATGACGGGGGCTTCGCGAATTGTGCTGGCCTATTGGTTAAAATGTCGTTGCTACGCCGCGGGCATCGACGTTGCACTGCATTGCGTCTTCACTACCCGCCTCAACGCTGTAGCGTTGCTACGTATCGAGAGCATCCATATTGCCCTCAAATTGTGCACCGTCCATATGACGCGCAATGCCAAGGCCGCCCCAATCAATGGATCAATCAATCGTGTTCCCGTTGAAATCAAATTTGAAAGCCTGAATGCGTGGGCGTTGGCACCAGCGCTTGGTAGTTGAAGTTGAGATGCGCACGGAGAGATCCATCCCGTGGCCGTACGCAGGCTCCTGTACTCGGACCACCCGACCTTGGAGTGCAAGCCGTCCGGTGTGTTTGAAACGAAACCGTCCGAGCCTGCATCCGAATAACGAATAAATCCGGATAGTGACTGAGCAGATGGAACCGAAAACTGGAAAGCAGGGCGACTGCATTGGCGGGTCGAAAGGCAGGAGGGCCAGCGACGTCTCATCTCTCTGACGACCGCCGAGGACTCGACGGGCCTTGAATCGTCGAGGGGCGTGGGGTGCCGAGCGCGCCACCGACCGCTGCCAGCGACCGGTACTTAAAGAGCAGGGACGTAAGACCCAGGGCACACAGACCATCTAAGTGTGACCGTTGGTCGCATACAGTGCCCCGTGGGCTAGGTTCACACTGTGAACCTAGCCCACGTCAACACCACTAGGCCGGGACAAGGCGATGTGTGTTTGCATGTTTAGTCCTACGGGAGAAGCCTGTTGATGTGGGACTGTACAACCTTTGGCAGCTGTCAATAGACGTAATTTAGCTGTCACTTTCCGTTCTGCCTCGTAGTACAATAGCCGGTGTTTAGGGAGTACGGCCTCCCTCTGTCTGGTGTTTCACGTTTTAGTTGTTGTCAGGGAGCGGAATCTGTCACACTTAGGCACCAGGCGTCCTTGGAATCACGTCACCCCAATCCAGCCAAAAAACCAAAATTGGTCATGAAAGAGATATGGGTTTGCTTGATAGAGCTCGTTTATAATTCCTTGGGCCGACCGTCCATTGTGCTCTACTGGTAGTATTCGTGGTCGTTCCTGCTGCTAACCAAGTTAAAACCCGTCTTGCGTTGTTGCGTGACTCTTGTCAGGCGGTTTGTTACCGGGATTACCACTCTGGGTCCATCGTCGATCTACTTGATCGACCAGGAGCGTCCGCGGTCGTGAGCCAGACCCGAGTTGCGTAGCTCCACTTGGATGCGACCGTGGGCCGACCTGGAGCTGCAGCACCCCAAGGTACACAGGGGGTGCTCACTTGAACTCGCGGGCTGATAGAAGTCGTTGGCTTGGCGACCGACGCGAAATGTCGGGTAGTCTGATGTTGATGAAGGTTGGAAGCTCATGGTGCCGACAATGGTCGAATTGTTTTGTTTTGGCGTCTTGGTCGGTGGTCGTACATGAAAGTGCTTTCGTTTTGGCGCTGGGCTTGCTGACTTTGTTTTCGATCTCGAGGCGTGGAGCTGGACGGTTGGCTGGATGAATATGTTTTCTTTGTTTGGGTCGATGCCTTGCTTGGGTTTCGGGGTCGGATGATATGGATCTTGCTGCTGAAGGTTGATGGCTGATGGCGTTAGCGGTGGCGGCTGGCTGATTTGTGCTCTGTGCTTTGTGCTCTTTGCTCTGTGCTTTGTTGCGTGACTCTATTCCAGTCAATCGTTTAATATGCACTAAACCGAAACGAATACCAAGTGCGCGCGCCCACGAAGCGATCTAGTTTCTCGCACAAGTTCACTTGGTCGGTGCAGAGCTCACAAACGTCGCTATCACGATGGCACGAGCCCCTGTATACGTCCAAGTCCATAGCGTTTACGTCTCAGGATTTTTGGAGAGACCTTCCCAACCCGGTCTCTCTCGAATCGCGACGAGTTGGGTGTGTAGACGAACTACCAGCCTGGCGAATGTGAAGTGTGCAGGACGTATGATATGACGCGGCCTGGAAGTGATGTGTCATTCAAGGCGCCGACTCTGCTTGAGTCGTTTGTCCCCTTTCTGTCCAAGAGTCGGGCGAGAGTCGCCACAACCATGTCGTAGCGCTCCGTGAGAAAACGGTGTGGTCCAGGTCCCTGGAAAATGCCAATCACATACATTGCTTCCGGGCGCTCGTGGCGCATGGCAAAGTATCGAAAACAACGGTCAGTCTCAACGCCTCCTTCACAATCCAGCACGAAGTGAGCTTTGTCGACACTTCTTGTACCCTCTTTTGTCATTTACAGTTTTGCGTAATTTCCAGCCTTGTGCTACGCCACCTTCAGAGCGGCGATGTCGTCTGCGATTGCTTGCGTCCTTAGCTCAAGCGACCTGCTCCGCGAGATCTTTGGTTACCAGCTGGGCCTTCCGCCGCAGTACCGGGCGTCCATTGCGCGCGTCGACGTCTCGTGGCTTGTACGACTATTTGCGACGTCGTCCCATCCGCGCAGCCCCGCTGTCGTCCACGCGCACCTCCAGTGGGCCGATGAGCTCTGGGCGGTTTGCGCAACCTTTGACTGGACGTTTCTGCGCGACACCAAGCTGGCCTTGTGTCTCGGCCTTCTGGGTGGCAACATCTCGGTCGTCGAGGCGCTTTTAACGACGAACCACAACTCCGTGCACAATATCCAGTGGCGCGTCGCTGCCAGCTTCGGACATATGCATCTGCTGCAGTTCCTCGCTGAGCATGACGCCAACCACTATACGCCCGAGGTGTTGCACAACGCGGCGTTTAGCGGACATGTCGACGGCGTTTGTTTCCTCCACGAAATCGGCGCTGTCTTGGACTACGCCTCATTTGCCCACGCCTGTGTGCAAAACCATGTGGCCGTGGCCGAGTACCTCTGGCAAGAGGAGCCAGCGCTTCATGTGCTGCCACCGTTTCTTGTGCAGCGTGTGGCCGAGATGGGCCATGTGCCCGTGTTGGTCTTCCTTTTCGATCGTTTCGGCGGCGTTGGGTTCACGCACAGCGCGATGGAGTCCGCGGCGCAGGAAGGACACCTCGATGCTATGCGCTTCATACAAGAGCACATAAGCAATCCCAGCCACACGTACTCGATGCACCTGTGCTTGTATCTCGCGGCAGCCAAAAACCATGTCGACGTCGTGGCCTACCTCGTTCAAGAATTCCCCGAAATGCCTGTAGCAACAGTCCTCCTCGACGCCGTCGCCAGTGGCTGCGCGGACGTCGCATGTTACCTCGTGGCCCAGCGACCAACGGCGGTACCGCTTCGACGACTCCACCGCGAAGCAAAAAAGAGGGTCCGAGCAAACGAACCGCCAATCGAGCAACGCCAGCAACTACTAGAGTTTCTAGAGGCCGCCCTTCGCCGTCAAGAACCATCCAACGCGCGAGAATCGTGTGTTGCCCAGTAGATCGCTCGATATTTTGGTGCGTTACCCTCGCGATTTCAACCAAGCCACTGATCATTTGTCCAAGCTCGCACCCACCCAACGACTGTACCTTGTTCACGCATCCCGACGGACGGCACGACGTATATTGCCGACCGATGAACTCCAGATCATTGAAGAGCTTTGGGCCGCCATCGTTCAACACATATCTAGCACGTAAGTCCAAGTAGGTGGAATCTGTAGTCTGTATAAAGATTTCAATCCAAATATCATATCATATCACATATGTATGGTATGTTGGCTTGAGTTAACTTCGGCTTTTTCGGAGCATGTAATAAGGCGCTTCGGGCTGGGTGTTGATGCGCTCTAGCCTGCACGCCGAGGGGTGGGAGCGAGGGGTGTAAGAGAATGCAAGGCAACGGCGAAGCATGTGCAGCAGCAATCAGCCGCCACATGCGGATGGCCAAGAAGGCATACTGTGCCAAGTCCGGGCCGACATTACTGTCGCACGAACGACCATTAAGACCATTAAGAACTCCGAGACCAAGTTGCGATTAATGGCGACCCAAGCGTGCCACTAAAAATGCAAAGAAGACAAGATGAAGCTTTCATGCTACGGATAGTCTTGAAGCTAAGACCGCCCTTCAATCCTTTCCAGCACTCGACTCGTTTTCGTTTTCTCGGGCATGGGCATATACAGGGTTGGCCAACACATGCGAGTAAGCGCCGTACGTGAGGCCACGCACACGACGCTTCATTTCTTCGTGTTGTCACCAAGGCGCGCGGTTGAGGGGCTTTATTTGAAGTCCCTACAGCGGCTGGCGAATCGGCCGAAAAACGAATAAAAGGTTCGACGGCCCGCCGATCCACCAGGACGGGGGTTCTTCGCGGCCGGGGGCAAGTACATCTTTCTATACACGCAAGTCACAAATTATCAAACCATGACGGACTTGCTCTTCGTCGTCAGCGCAGAGGCCACGGGGAATAATCCGTCCACCAGCTCCGAGACTTGGAGGTGGTTGCGCAGGACGAGAAGAAAGGAGAACTGATTGATTGACATAAGCTTAGACGAACTAGACCTAGAGGGAGGATCTGGGACGTGGGCTTGGGGGGATCTTGGAGCTCGGATCTTCTCGCGGCTGAAACCAGACTCGGGGATGCAGCTTGATTCTCCCAGAGTCCCACTGGTCAAGACTGGAACAGGGAAGACGTCAGGGTGTCACGTTCGTAGACCCTATCGTCGCGATGCTACGTCGCGCATCCACCAAACGGGAGACCTATGCGCTTGCCGAGAAGCTCCAGAGGCTTCATGCCTCCACTTTTCGCGCGCTTCTGGTGACCTGTTTGCGTCGATGGAGGGTGCGGTCATCCTGGACAGGATATCTAAGGCGCGACCGGCCACGAGCTGCAATGGATAGCCACATGCGAGTGGAATCCTCTACCACCCACTGGATGGCATCCAGTACAGGGTCAAATATGGCAAGTCCTATGGCCCTTCGGCCACACTCTTTATTTGGCGAAGTAATAGCCTGATAGTAAGCTCGTACTAGTACTTGGTAAGACGTTGTACCGGAAGTGTCAGGTGCGCTTTCTATTGCTTGCAAGTTTTGCAAACGTCGTTGAGTCCAGAGCAAAAACTTAGAGGTGAATAATACCTGAGTCAGTTGCTAGCTATCTCAAACAGCTTAGTCGGGCAAGTGGCTCCCTTCGGTGCGAAGAGTCTGCAGGAATTTTTACGACTGTACAATATCACTAGGGTGAGCCCTGTGGCCTTACACGGTCACACTCGTTGTGCGTATACAGTAGGCATTGGAGCATCCTGGGTAGCGGGATCATTCGGTTGCTGCACGCGCGTCCCGAGTGTGAGCAGCAACCGCTCTTCAAATTGATCTGCCGCGCAGCGATACTAATGGTACGTAGCTCTCGTTGTACGTTATTATGGATGGTACACTCCGTCGGCGTTGTTACTGCAGCAAGAAGAATGATTTTCTATCTTGCTGGAGGCTGCCGACGATGTGGTCAGCACTTGTGCTCGTCACCAATCTTGCCGCTGTTAGTGTCAAGCTTGTACAACTTGGACGGCGAGGCGAACCTTGTAAGACTCCTGTACGTGAGAAAAAGCTTGCATCTTGTGGTTGGGAGCGACGACCTCGAGAAGATCGTTGATTGAGCAGCACGCGATTGGTGGACAGTGTGTAGTGCGCACCTCGGTAATGTCCTCGTCCAAGACGTCGTCACCGATGAAATGTCCGCTTAATTTATCGTTACAGCTAGCTCGTTCTCGGCGTTCCCGTCGTCGTCGTCGATCTCGGCGGCTGAACGTTGTCGGCGTCGTAGTCGACCTCAACTTCGTCGTTGTTCTTGGCGTCCTCGTTGAACTCATCATCGTCGGCGCACGTAGCGGGTGCAAGCACAGGCTTATAGTTGCGTTCTGTTGAGCGGTGACACGTCGCACGACAGGGGGCACCAAAGCTAAAAGTGCAGATCTGAGTCGATTCCACTTGCCATCTCCGGCTCGGGCTCAGGGTCCAACTCGACTTGTTAGGTTGGCAGGGCGCATGTCGGGGTTGCCGTGTCGACACACTTGCGTGGGCTTGGGCGCGGACATGGCGTGGGCACTGCGGGTATTGACGTGACGCCGGCGCCAACCGCTGTACCTTTGTTTCGCGGGGCTGCCGAGGCCTCGAGTTGACAATTGAGTGCCGCGGGAAGCTTCGAAATCCAGGAGGGCGGTGGATGGCTTGTCGTGCGGCCGGCAGCATCGCGTTACGCGATGCTGCGAGTCGAGCCGACTCGGTACAGATGGGCGTGGGTCTGCGCTCGAGGCTGCACGATCGACTGGCGGGAGGGACCTCCTGTACACAACGTTGTACGCGCGCGTGGCCTGGTTGCGGTCGTGGATGGAGCAAGCAGGTCTGCGCTTGCGAGCTTAAGCACACAAAAGTCTTCAAGTCCTTTCCCCACGCGCGTACTTTCGAGTCTGGCCTTCTTGACGACAGCAGCATTCACCTTCTTCTGCTCAACTTCTCCGCGAGCGCATACTTTTGTGCGTTACTTCCGCGCTTCTTCCTTGCGCAGGAGTTTCATTCGCCGCGCGTCGGCGTCCTGGTCTAGCTTACTGTTTGTCATCAAGAGCCGATGTACGCACCGGTCGTAACCAATTAGCAGACTCGCAGTGCTCGTCTCTGACGCGGCCCGGTAGGCGCTTCGTTTGTCTGGCAAGTCGTACCGGTAGGAAGGGTGACGCTGTGCGGCCCACAATAATCAAAAACAGGTGTCATTATACCTCCTTTCACTAAAACTGCTAGGGATAATGTGTCTGGAAACGTCCGGATATTCACCACGAGAAGGAAGCCACCAGCAACCACCCAAAGCCTGAACGACTGCGCAAAATGATGCATTACGCGCCAATGCCTTGCGCACTGCACGAACGCACTCGCTCCGCTCGTGGGGCCGCTTAGCAGCCGCATCGGCTCCGCCTCCTGTCGGTTAAAGGCCGGTGCATCCGAGGAGGGAGTTCCAAGATCTCTTTTTCTCGAAGTAATAGGAGATGCGAGTTACGCAAACATATAAAATGGTAATACAAAAGAGCAATAGTATCTTCTGATGTACACGGTTGCCTGCAAACATGCAGTTCTGCGCAGGGGGGCAATTTCTGAGATGACCCACCCATGGCCCTAGAAAGTTGATGAGTACTTTGCTTAGCGAGTCAGTCGGTCATTTATTCATTGCTCAATTAGAGCATTGTTAATCGACTTACTAACCAATCACAGCAATACATCTCTGTCAGTCGGCCAAATGACGCCGGTTACTAAAGTCGTATCCGGCATCATCTAGTTATAGAGGACGAAAAGGAACCGTCGTCAAAAGCAGCGCACTCAAAATCTGGCAGATATGCTCACAAACCCTGAAAGCAGGGCCTACCACAATCTTGTCACTTAAAAGTGCCGATGCGCGGCACACGCTCTGCACGTTATCAGGTCGCGATAAAACATTGGCATGGGTGGTGACCTACCCGTGGTGGAGGCCAACAAGCCTTGTATAGTAAGCCTTTTATGCTCGTCTACACGATAGATATACGCCCCGCAAACCGCAAACAAAATGTACAGATGAGAGGGGCGACGCTGAACCAATTGGAATGCATTTTAGTACATATGAAACCTTGATTGATGAATCTACACCTAAAGCGCATCGCAACAAATACATCGGGGATTTTTGAGCACGACGGATCTACTATTCTGTCGTCGATGATTCCCGACACTCTACCTAGCAAAGGCAGCAACAAGAAAGACAAATCTGTTTAGATCACTAGCAACTGTCACCATCGCTACCAGGGTTTTTTTGCAAAATGCAAAGGCGTTAGCAAAATGCGAAGAAACAGGAAGACTTTTCGCCAGACATCACAACGTTTGAGCCTACTATTACTACTTCGCCAAGAAAAAGTTGCGACAAGAAAAAAGTGGCCGCCCCCATCCTCGCCAAACCAAGGTCACCTGCGATCATGCGAGCGAGGCGATCTACCGTTCTGGATACAGTCAGCAATCTTGCGCGTACTGTCCTTGTCCTGCCTGTAAAGAGTTTTCATGAGATTTTTCCCGTTGTGTAGTTTTGCGGACATTTTCTGATTCGTCGTCATCAGGGCAACAGTGAAATCAATACTGTGAAATTAATATTGCAACGCTTGTAGCTTTCTAGGCAGTTTGGCATTAAAAAGATGCTTTTGCGTTACCATACCCGTACGGTGCTCTATATGTAGCACCTCTATGTCATCTTGGCGGCAACAGTTGCCTTACGCATTTAACACGACAATCCAATCGCAATAAGCAGAATCTGAGACAACGCCATGGCATCTCGCATTGGTAAAATCTTGAAAAGTTAGGCAATGCGGCTACCCTAGCGCTAGCATTCAATCTCAACTACGGTGCTTGATTAGGAAGTTAGCCAATTTGTAGGGCTTACGCCAAC